CTCACAGTGCCACAGTGTGTACACAAGAAAAACAGTTCACCTACCATCTCCTGATTGAATCTAATCCTGGCTCTGTCACTTCTAAGCAACAGTCCAATTTCATTCAATCCAGTACAGATTTGGTGAATGCCCACCACGTATAAAGCATTGCATTTGGTGTCGCAGTACCAAGTAATACTAAGATGGGGTTCCTACCTCATGGAATTCATAATCTGATAGACAAGGAACAAATTACTTATAATTCCCAATAGTTGGCCTGGCCAAGAATCAGGGAAATAGAAAAAAGAAGAGTCTATCTCATTCAAACTTTTCACTCAATAATGCCTTCAAAACCCCAAAATTAGGATAGATTTTGCTCCAAAAGTGGGAAACCAACAGCAATACACTGGACAGTGGCAGGGGCAGTGGGGGAGAAACCTAAGGGGCCCCACAAACACTTCTCCACTGGTAGCATTAAACCTGAATAGTTTTTCCCCTGTTTAAAAATAAGGAAATAGACCAAAGACAACAAAAGTCTGTAATCCAACTGGAAAGTCACGTGATCCTGAAGACTCAAGGAGACACAAACATGAAAATTTTCCAAGTTAACCAAAGAGCTTAAGAAAAAGACTTACAATAAGCATGTATTGGGTTTTTTTTAATGATTTATATATTAGTATTTATAGGATAAGACAATGAACATACCTATATAAAATGTTGGCTCCATAAAGAGTGTTTTTCCCCCCAAGAATTCTTAGAAAATTTATAAATAACCCAATTATTCTCTCCCACCCCGGCACTGTTTGAAATGCTATCATACATCCCAGAAGCAACTGAGTTGGCAGCTGGATATAAAAACTTGGAGTTCAGGGAAGAGATCCAAGGTAGATAATAAATTTGGAAGTTACCAGCATACGGATGGCACTTAAGAGTCCAGCGACTGAATGAGACCACTTGGGTAAGGGAGAGGGGCTCCAAAGACTGAGCTCCAGAGAAAGCCACATCAAGAGGTCTGGGAAATGAGCAACTGGCAGAGGAGTCTAAAAACTGAAAAGCTGATGGGGTAGGAGAAAAAGCAGGCAGATGTGATGTTGTTGAGCCAAGAGCAGCAAGTGCATCACAGAGGAGACAGTGACTGGCCACATCAGATGCTGCTGCCAGGAAAGAACAGGAGGACTGAGGACTGACTGGATGAGGAAGCACACGAAGACCGTGATGGCCTTGAGGAAACCGGCACAGTGCAGAGGGGAAGGCAAGGGCCTGACTGGAGAGAGCTCAGGCGAGAGCAGGAAGGAGGAAATGAGAGGCGTTAGTAGAAGAGCTTTCTGAAGAACTCCTGCTGTTTATGAAAAAAGAGAAGTGGGCCATAGACAAAAGGGAAGACTGGTCAAGACAGGGTCTTTTCATTGGTGATGGTGGTGGTGGTTCCCATGTCACAATATATATGTAATTAAATCATCATGTTGTAAACCTTCAAAAAAACATCAAATTGTACAACTTAAACACTTGTTAAATTTGTCAAAAAAAAATAAAACACAAAAGAGTGACTTTCATGAGTATGAAATTTACACCAAGGAAGGAAAGAAATGAGGGTGTGAGGAGCTGAGGAACAGCAGGATCAGCTGATCAAAGGCCTTGGTGGGGAAGACAAGGATACTCACTAGAAAAGAGCAAAAAGCAGCAAAGGACAGAAGGCGGTGTCAGAAGAAGAAAGCTTTGCAAACTAGATGATGGAGGGGGTGCAGCCCTTGTGATGACAGAATCTAAGCAGCGGGCGGGAGAGGGGACGGCTGAGGGAGGGCCAAGAACCAGATGACTGAAGCAGAGGGGCCCAAGGAAGCCGCGAAGTGCTCAAAGGGTCATCTGAAGTGATGCCAAAATTACCAAGAAAATGGTGAAAGGAAGAAGAGACCTGGAGATATACCCAGAGCGAACTGAAGGTTCTAAAAGCAGCTCCAAACTCAGAAAAGGGTAAGAAAAATAGAGATTGGAGACAGAGAGACTTGGAGGGTGAAACCATGCAATCGGACAGAGAAAAACCGACAAGACAATGGTGGGGAATAACACTTAAGGAGCAAGGGCTGAAAATGAAAAGGTCCAAAAACTCAGGGGAGAAGCAGCATGGTGCCCGGTGGAGGAAGGTAAGCGCCAAGTCCAATGTTGCTAAAGCTGCCAAGTGCTGCGCTGTTTCCCTCTGAGTGGCCCACAGCAATCTAAGTCAACAGGACCACAGCTGAAGTCACCATCTTCCTCAACCCTCCTCTGTGCTGCATCTTGGTAAATGGCACCAGCTTGTTGCTCAAGCCAGAAACCTTCCCCTTCTCCCTATACTTCAATATTCAATTTCTCTCTAAAAGTTTCTCCC